GCTAGCCGAGAATATTTATACAAGTGAGGTTAAGAATTTGGGAACTGATTTTATTTTGATAATTTGTGTCTCCGGAAGATAGGTATCGCTGTGGTTTTTCAGAACTTAACTAATTTTCTTTTAAATATTTTTTGCTTTAACTTTGTTAATGTGGTAGAATATTTTATAATTTTTGCAAGGAATTTTATTGCAATATAAATAAATTTATATTTCAATAATAAATAATTGATTATGGTTTGATTTTTTTTTTTTGATGTGATGATCCTATGGTGGTAATATTTGTTTATTATTATGAAAATATTACAGAATGAATGGATGTCAAATTTATATAGAATTTGGCAGTTAATATTCAATTGTTTATAAAATCGATTCAATTTTCACAGGCATTTACGCATGCTTAGTTGTAGTTTTTAAAAGTGTCGATGAAAAGAACATATAAGTGACATTTTGTAGTAGTGATAGTAGCTTTGCAAAGTGTCACTAAAATAAGTTCCAATGGCACTTATATCCATTTAATGGCACAAATGAATTGGATTTAGTGGCATTTATGAAGTTGTTATAAATATCAATTGTGGCATAACAAGTGTCATTAAAAATTCATATCGTGGCAATTTTTAGATTGCAAGTCTTCTTTAATGGCACTTGATAGCGTCACGAATAGTGTCTACCATGACATTAAAGTGTCACTGCAAGTTTTTAGCCCTAATGGTGTAATGGCACTTACAAGTGTCACTGAAGTGCCACTAACTCTTTTTTTAATGGCATTTGATAGTGTCACAAATTGTATCTATCATGACATCAAAATGTCATTGAAAGTTTTTAGCTATGATGGTGCAGTGGCACTTGCAAGTATTTACCGTGGCACTAGTATCTACCGTGGCACGGGTATAAATGACACTAGTTCAAAATGCCACAAGACTAAAAAATGTCATTAGAAGAATAGTTTTGTGCCACTTTCAAATGTCACTAAACTAAGAAAATGTTGTAGTGACCATATATGCCCATAATAAAATCATGAATAGGGATTGGAACAAAACTTTATAGGTTAGTAAATATGGCCACACAGAAAAAGTGCCACGGTGATATACTGTCCGACTCTTTTATTGGAGATTGCAAGTTTGAGTCCCATATGGGCAAATACTAAATAAATGAATAATAAATAAGCAGTGCTTGTGGAGGGAAGGAATTAATATCAATAGATGCAACTATGCATGTAGGTCTATTTTATTTTTGGCTGGATGATGTATAACCTTAGAAACTAGTAATTAACTGAATATTAGACAAGCAAAGAAGGTTAATCTCTGGCACAATCCAACGTTGTCTTTGTTTTGGAGAGAATATTTTCTAATATATATTGTATTTTTTAGTGTTTGATATGATAAAATAACTAAAATGACACCACAATGGAATTTTAGGGATTATACTTTTAGGGATTTTTAATAGTGAAAATTTTGTTACAAAAACATTTACAAACCAATTTCAGTTATTGCAAGAATAGTTATTAAAATGTTGTCTAGAAAAAAAATTTTAAAAAAAAAACAAACAAACAAACTTCTAGCGACAATTTTGAAAAATATTGCTAATAAATGCACTTTTAGAGATAAAATAATCTGATCTCAAAAAGATTTATTTTTTGAGACAAAATATTGGTCCCAAAGGATAAAAATTCATCACTAAATATATATATAATAATAATATTTTTAGCAACAAAAATATTTGGTTCCTAAAAAATAATTGTCCCTTAACTTTTGTCTCAAAAACCTTAATTTGTGATGGTGTGAACGAAAAGTAAATTTGTTTGGGTGGAAAACGTTTTCTACCTCCGTCACTATGACCGCTAGTGAAATTACTAGAACATTTAATTTAAAGGTTATGACCAAAGATGAGAATATTTTTTACAAATAACACTTCGTGAAAAGTGAGCGTAAATGTCAATTTCCGACAACAGTTTAACAACCATTAAAGAGCAAGAATTATACTGACATGCAATTTCAAAGAAAAGGCACAACGAAATGCTGGTTTTAAAAGGGATAAATGGTAATTTAGGCACACAATCTTAGTTGGAACACCTTACATGAACACATTTTTGATATATAATATAGTCAAAGCAAAGGAGAAAAAGTGAGAGTTATTTAAGCAATAGATTAAAGGTTGCTGATGAAGATGATTAACGATCACATGAACACTTATCGAAGAGGCAAGCATAATTAACATAAAGCCACCACTTGTACTCTCTACTGACTGGTGGGAGTGGCTAACCATTCTTGGAGGACATTGGAAGTAACCTTGATCAGTAAAAAAAATAAACATGCTTAGTTCACTTACCCCCAAAAAAAAAAAAAAAAAAAAAAAAAAAAAAAAAAAAAAAAAACTTTAGTCTACTTACTCATAGTTGGAACATGAATAGATTACAATAAAAAATATAAAGAAAAGAAAATGAGAAAATGAAATTGAGATGCTTCAAAAGAAGAACGATGTATTTTGGTAGAGTAATGTTATATGTAAACGAGTTTCTTATCAGACTTTCTTACCACTAGTCACAAATTTAGTAAGATCCATATTAATAACTATAGGTGGAATTCATGTCTTTGTATTTAGTGATAAGAAATTCGAATAAAAAATATATTTTGAGTATAGCATTCTCTATTTCGGTATGCATATGCATCGGTCGAGAGGGTATGCCTCACACCTTTGGTTTTCATGTTAAAAACCTCTTCCAACTTCCTAGTTTTGGTTCAACCGTTCATTCGTGTAAATATTTTTGATCTTATGCAATTCGCTAATAACACTCCCCATTGAACATGCAACCCCAATTCGTAGAACGGAAACCATGCAGTCTTTAATCCACCTTCTTGTGTTGTGCTCCAATAGAATACAGGGATGCACAATCTCCATCACTCGATCAGGCAATGCATTCTTAACGAAGTAATGAAGATTTAGATGATTCTTAAACATATCATCAGTTGGTCTCAAACCTGTAAACATTTCCAGTAAAAGAATCCCAAAGCTATATACATCCCCTAGTGTGGAAGCCATGTCCCCCATGCCATACTCTGCAAATTGTTACTAATGTTAGTGTGAAAAGTGAGCCTATAGTTAGTTGACATATGTATAATAATTTTTGTAAGGCAATTTTAATGTTGTATGATGACCTTAACCTCAAATCTCTCAATAACAATATTTTTTGTTGGTGCGTGCGAGTGACTGAGTGAGATCATTGTTACGATTCACATAGTTTAATTTTATTTTTCATTGAAGCAAACAGAAATTAGTCTTGCATGGAAAGGTATATCAAAATCAATATACAAGTTTCCAAGAATTGAGTAAGATATTGGAAAATGCTTTGGTTCCGAAGCAATATAATAATTCTTTCAACAAGTAGATACCATGTACTATTTTGATTCGGCTGAACTTTCTTACTAGAATTACATAAATAATTTATTTTATTTTTTTAAAGGAAAAATAAGAAAGACAAGATATAACAAAGGAGGCGACATAGAGTATTAACTCAGGTGGAAACACACATTGGGAGCATTCAGAAATGACAGAATATGTATAAAAAAAAAAAAAAATTCTTTGAAAAGATGTAGGTGCCCACTATTTTGTAGAAACCCATGGTTTTTTGTATGGTTGTTTATGCTAAATTAATTCTACCATGCAAGCTGTACATATATGTATGTGTATATATATATATTACTTTTCCTATTGCAAGTTGAGTTTTTCTACTCCAAGGAAATTGAAAAGATTTTGTACCTGGAGCAACATAGCCTATGGTTCCCTTTATCGGAACTGAATTGCTTTGACCCTGTGCCACATCACTTGAAACGGTAGAAATAATTTTTGCTAACCCAAAATCTCCAATATGGGCTGTCATCTCATCATCCAAAAGAATATTACTTGGCTTTAGATCAACATGAATAATTGTCGACTCACAACCACAATGAAGATACTTAAGTGCAGAGGCAACATCAATGGAAATGTCCAGCCTCTGGATTAGTTTAAGATTTCTAGGTTCTTTGAGCTGCTCATGGTCTCCCACGTCAACTTGATGCAACCAGTTGCCCAAGTTTCCATTAGCCATAAATTCATATACCAAAGCTTTGAATTCATTACCATGGAAATCCACACTGGAACAAACGCTCAAAATTTTCATTAGATTTCGGTGCCTTATGGCTCTTAGTGCCTTGCATTCTGACATGAAGCTCTTAGAACCTCTCTGGTATGAAGATTGAGAACTTTCACTGCGACAACCATCTGAATGTTATCAAGAATCCCTTTGTAAACTGAAGCATAGCTCCCAACACCAATTAGATTAGCCTCTGAGAATCCATTGGTGGCTTTGAGAAGCTCTGCATAAGAAACCCTCAAAAATCGATGCATGATTGATGGCGTGCAAGAGGCATTCTTTTTTGAAACACGATGTCGTTGAAGAAATATAAATATAAAGAAGCTAACTAACAAACATAAAAATATCACAACACCAACCACCACTGGGATCACTATCATTTTGTGAGACAACTTATTCTTGCTTGATTTGGAGGATGGACAAGGAGGAAGGTCTAATTCAGCAATTCCTCCACAAAGATCATTATTTCCTACAACTGAAATCGCACTCACATTTTGAAACACTCCTTGTATTGGAACTTGTCCACCTAGCCTATTAAAAGACAAATTCAAGATATCTAGTTGAAACTCACCTAGATAACTTGGGATAAGCCCCGACAAATTATTTAGCGAAAGATCCAACACTCTTAAACCCCTTAGTGTTCTCAAGCTTTGAGGTATCTCACCCTCAAATGAATTATCTTCCAAGTGAAGCCATTCCAGACTCAAACAACTACTGAGAGTGTTTGGTATGGGTCCTGATAATTTATTATGGGATACATCCATGTATCCGAGATTTTTCAAAGACCCGACTTCTGATGGAAGAGAACCGGTTAGTGCATTGTGATCTAACATGAGGAATGATGAAAGGGTTGAGAGCTTCATAATTTCAGGGGGTATTGGACCGTTGAGATTATTTTGAGAAAGGTATAATTCCAACAAGCTATGACAAGTGCCCAGACTCGGAGGTATGCTCCCATGGATGTTATTTTCTCCCAAGTTGAGAGTAATCAACAAAGTCAAATTACCAAGTGAAGATGGAAGTTCTGTGAATTTGTTCCTGTCTAAGAATAGAGCATGCAGATTATGAAGTCTGCCAATAGAGGATGGAATAGGGCCAGCAAGATTGTTCACTGCCATAGATAAGCAAGTGAGGTTGAGGAGGTTCCCGATGCCTGAAGGAATGCTTCCATGTATTTGATTAATCTGCAAACCTATCCAACTAAGATATGTGGAGAGATTAGCTATGGAGTCAGGCAATGAACCTCTAAAAAGATTGCTACCCGCATCAATAGTTTGTAAAATGGTGCAATTTGTTAGAGATGAAATAAAAGTGAGGTCATCCTGCAACCGATTTTGAAAAACACTTATCCATCGAAGACCTCGAAGTTTTCCAAGGTCTCTCGGCATTGTCCCGCTGAAATCATTTGTAGAGAAGAATATCGAAGACCCAGATGTTTTCGAAGATCTCTCGCCATTGTCCCGCTGAAATCATTTTCAGGGAAGTATATATCTTCAAGTTTTGAAGCGTTTGACAGTGAAGTAGGAAGTGTTCCAGTAAACAAATTGGTGAAAAGATAAAGAAACTTAAGATTGGGGAGTGTGGAGCCTATTTCAGGAGGAATATTTCCTTCAAGTTGGTTATCAGCTACTGATAACCAAATGATGGTGGAGATATTGTAAAGGCCAGATGGAACCTTGCCAGAAAGGTTATTCACAAATAAGCGGACATATCTCAGGCCTCGAAGCCTTGCAATTTCCTCCGGAATCTCCCCATGCAAATTACATTCTGCTAAAGAGATTTGGTAAAGAGATGAGAGGTTTCCAATGAAAGGAGGGATGGTACCTGAAAGCTTGTTTGTACCCAGGGCTAAAGTTCCAAGCCTTGACAAAGTGCCCAACTCAGCTGGGATGTTTCCGGTTAGGTTGTTGTCGATCAAGTTCAGCCATTCAAGTTTTAAGCAGCGAGAAAGGTTGTTGGGTATTCCACCGCCAAACGAATTGTTGCTGAATTCTATTGTTTGTAGCCGAAACAAGCGACCCATCTCCTGTGGGATTGGGTCATGGAAGCTATTGTTTTGAAGTGAAAGATTAGTTTGAGAGAGTGAGAGAAGGTATAGAGCGAGAGAGAGACTCTGAAATGTTTGTATATACATTAATTAGGTTTCCTATATGAGGTGAGAGCGATCCAACCAGGCCTTGGGAATCTAGAGTGAGCCCAATAACTCTATCAGGATGTCGACGACCGCACAAAATGCCGTTCCAGTGACAGTGGTGGACTGAATGATTCCAGGAAGTGAGGGCACCGAATGGGTCTTGAACTATTGCAGCCTGAAAGGCCACCAATGCAAGTCGATCTGTCTCATTTGGCATGATGCTACTGGCTGGAGGGATGTTGCACAAGTAGCACCACCACCACACAAGAGCAGTGTACAGAACAATAAGCGACCTTGCCATGATTTTTTTTTGGTTAAATTTTTGTTCTTGATGAATTAGGCACTTGCATATGATGGTGTGCTGAGTGTGTAATGTGTATATATAATTTGAAATTTCCCAACTATAGCTACTAGCTAGTTCTTGTTTTTTGGTCAATTAATTATACTACTATTAAAATGAGACCATTAAAAAAAAAAAAAGTTAATTAAAGACCTCCCTAAAGTAACGTATAGATGACAATTAAGTAGGTGGATTCCTTCTTTCATATTAAAACAAAAAGCAAAAAAACAAAAGCAAAAAACAAGACCGTAAATGAGTGGAATCCTTCACCGGTCTATTCTGGGATTCTTGCTGTGCCACACAACAAGCTGTTGTGAGTTTTTGTGGATGCTCGTTCCGAATCTTTTTCAATAATTCAATCCGTTAACATGATTTTGTTAATTTTTTTAAAACAATTAGGACCTGATCATAAGCCTACGGATGTTTGATTAATTTGATTTTTTTCATTTATGTTTTCAAACAAAATTTAAACAGTTAATTATTCGACTAGTTCAGTGAGAACTCCATCACACCTACATCGAGGCTAAAGCTAAGACCCTTTCGTGTTTTGAGCACTAAGAAATATATTTAATCCCAACAAATGACTATAAAGATTCAAACTCAAGTTTTGAGCGAGTAAATCAAAAGTTTTACCACTAAACCAATCCCAGTTAGTATAGTTAGTTATAAATAAACAGGTGATTTGCTTCATATCAAAGCATATTTATACTTCATGTCATTGACTATTTAGATTTTATATAGTTCTGTATTAGGGCTGGCTTTGAACATTTAGGGGCTCAAAGCGAAAAATTGAACAAATATTATCACTGTATCACTTAAACATTACGGTTCTTGCATTTTTAGTTGCAAAATTGAACCAAGAGCTCCTAATTGTAATCCAATTAATTCTTCTATATTTTCTTAGAAGTATGATTAAATGAACAATGCATTACATTATTTCACAAACAACAATCAATTCAATTCTAGATATTTCAATTTTTAAGTAAAGTCAACATGCAATTGAAGTAAAACTTGAAATGACACAAAATCTAAAGGCATTTAGAGATGATATTAAGATTTAAAAAAGTTCAATCTCATAATGGCGAATTAAGTTAGAGACAATTTTGGTAAAGTGAAATCAATTACTTCACTACAAGAAAATGAGCTATTTGAGTCCCATTATTTGTGACAGAAACATTTGCTGACTCAAAAATGTGTTATTAGCGTCGGCAAAGTAGGACCGTCTCAAAAAAAATTTACTTAGTGTTATTATTTGAGTCGGCAGACTATGCCGTCACAAAAAAAAATTTATTTGCGTTGGCCAGATTTTTACCGTCGGAAACAAAAATTATTTAATTTTTTTTTCCACTTTTTTGGCTCCAAAAACTACATCGCGCGCCATTTTTTCGCGCCATTCCAGGAAATAGTAAAATATTTGTGAAAAATGTTTTAAAAATTAATAAATACACAAAAATACGAAAAATGTATTAATTTTTATTTTATTTTTTTGCATTTTTAATATTTAGTGAATTTTTTAAAGATTTTTTTCACAAATATTATACCTTTTAAGTGTATTTATGTTAGGTATGTCTAAAAATTAAAAAAGAATACTTAAAATATTTTAAAAAATTAGTGAAAACAAAAAATATACGAAAAAAAAGTAGAATTTTTTAAAAAGTGAATTCTGGAAATTAAAACTAAACAGAGTGATTGTTTTTAGTTTGGTATTAAGCGCAAGATTTAGTCGGATTTTGGTAAGTTGAAATCAAAGTAATTTTTTTTCTTTTTTCTTTTTTGATAACTCAGGTATCCCCAACCCGCTGATTTTAAGGGAAGCCATGACTAATCCTGAGGGCCCTGAAGTTAACGACCGGGCAAACCTCCAGTGGCCCCAAGGGGTGACTCGAACTCGAGACCTATGAATTTTATCCTCCAGACTTTACCATTCGGCCACTTACCTTGGGGTTGTTGAAAGTAATTGAGATCCACCATTTATAAAAACAATTTTGCTTGTGTGTTGGTGATAAGGACTGGAGTTATATAGGTGAGTTTTGATGTTAAAAATTAAAATAATTGGAGCCTTCATTTAATTGAAGTTAACAAAAATAAAATTAAAATCAATACTATAAGGATTTTTTCTAAATTAAGACCCTAATTTTTAGTTTAAATTTGAGATCTAAACTGACGGATTTGCCGGCTTGCCTCGGCCCGTATATAGATTAATAAATTAAACTGGTATTCAAGTTTGAAGTTTGAATATGTGCTGAACGTGTTTTGGTGCTTGAATATAGTATGCTTAGCTTTAGCACTTGGTGTTTGGAGTTTTCTGTGAAAGTCAAATGTTGACTAATAGCAGGCCAGGCTGACTCTTTTTTTTGGGGGGGCGGGTTGGATGTTTGGGTGAAATTTTAAAAATGGTAAATTACAAATATATTTTTTGAAATTTGATTAAAATATTAATTGTCATATGTGATTTTAAAAATTATATTCTATCTTGAGATTTCTAATTTCATAATAAATCGTCATTTTTATTAATAAATCATTAAGTCAATTAATAATTTTTAATGATGTTAAAAATACGTTTCAATTAATAGTTTTTAATGATGTTAAAAATATGTTTCAATTAATAATTTAAGTAATTTTATTTTTGTATTGGAGAGCAATTAAGAATTTTATTTTTTAGTTAAAAATGTTAAATAAAAAAATTCTAGTAAGGGGATATTTGTAATTTTTCAAACCACAGAGGGCAATCTGTACTTTAAGCAAACCTCAGGGGGTGTATTTGTAATTTATCCTTTTAAAAATGAAGTCTTTATACATTTAAAAAAAGGTAAATTATGTAAATGGTCCATGTAATTTATATGATGTATCAATTTGGTTCTTATTATTTTAATTTGCTCAATCTTGCCATTTAGTTTAACGAATTATGTCAATTTGGTCCCTTTCAAAATTGAGCAAATTAAAATAATATGGACCAAATTGATATATCGTGTAAACCACAAGGACCAAATTGACAAATCATTTCAGCACATGACAATTTTCCATCCACAAAACCTAACGGTTGTTATTTATTGGACCAATAGGATACAATTTGTTAAATTAAGGAGCAAAATCTAGCAAATTAAAACAATAGGAACTAAATTGATACATCGCGTAAACTACAGACCATTTACATAATTTACCCTTTAAAAAAAATTATTAGGAATTTTTTTTTAAGCATTTATATCTCAATTAGTCTCAATCAGTCCATAATATATTTTTGTATTTCAATAAGTCATATTATTTGAATATTTGATCTACCAAATCTAATTATCATATTTAAGTATTTTATGGATATTTTTACCCTTATAAATATTTTTTTAATGCTTAACAACTTAATAATGTGAACATTCATTTTATTTTATTTTTGGAGGGGATGAATATTCATATTTGACAATATAAATATTCACATTGACGTGTAAATATTCATATTGACAATGTGAATGTTCACATCACGAAACATTCATTATCAATGTCAATATTATTATTAGAGATATTTTGATAACTATATTACTCATAGGACTTATTGGTACATAAGAAAATAATTTGAACCAAGTGAAACATAAGCCTCCTCATAATTATAAAGTCCTATATCAAGGACAAAAAAAAAAAAAAAAAATAGTCCTTTTTTTTTCTTCTAAACTTGTACCTATACAAAATTTTCTTGCTTATACAAAAACTAAAATTATTATTATTTTTTTTATCTGTGCTATGCAAGCAAATTATTCATAACTTTATTACATAGTGCCATAATACATATCACAAATATTCATAATTTTATTTAAAAAAAAAATTGATTTTTTTGTTTTAAACGATGTACACCTTTTTTTAAGTGCACGTTGTAAATTTTTCCTTGATGATTGTAAAAAATCGTGGATCACTAATGTTTTTTCTTACCAAAACTTATTTTTGTAGCGAAATTTAGAACATCTCCAAACAATGATAATGAAAAAAGTTTTCCAAAATTCACAATTTTTTTCCTTTTTCCTTCTAATAACTAATTACTTTGGGTTAATTGGTGAAAACTCTATTCCTATATGTCACCTGTCATTTAGTCCAAACTTTATTATTTTCTCATGATAAGGACACGCATTGAAAAATCATTGCAAAAGTTGCTGAAAAATTAGCCAAAAAAATCACCGGCAGGCGACAATTGATTGTGGGGCCAATGGTAGTTGATAGTAACGACTAGTGGCAGTAGCTAATGGCAATGACTTGGACAGATATGTGAATAGATTGGCGAGACATGCACACATTTGAACAGAGAGTTAGACAAATAGATGACACATGTACAGATAAATAGGTGCATTTGAATAAATAATCAACATTTGAACAGATAGACAGATGGTTAAGCTTTTGAACAGATAGTTAAACTTTTCAACAAATAGCATGTCTTTTTAAACAAAAATCAGTGTGTTTTGTTTCAATTTTTTGAAAATTAAGTTTTTTTTTTAATTTTTTGTGTTTTTTTTAGTGAATATTTTAAAAATTTTAAGCAAATTTTTTTTTTTTTTACTTTTTTAGATACATC